ACACGATCCGGAACCAGGTCCAACATTGTTTCGAATCAAACCAGGTCCGTTTATACCAGTTTTGAGCGTAAGACCGATCATGTTTGCCCTAGAGGGGCACCCAACCTTTTTCATAGATTCATGGACCGGACCAGTATATATGCATACATGTGTGTATATATTACTATATGGCCGGTCTTGTGATGGCCGCCTGGCCGGTCCTAGGGGGAGGGCAGCAGGGACGACCGCCTTAGGCTCGAAAAAAAGTAGAAAGAAAATTAGGCCCAAGTTTTTTTCTTTATATGTAATATATATACTAATATGAGTAGGCTTCTTTTTTTATTTATAATTTCAATTAATTAATTAGGCTTAATGTGTAATTTTTGTTGACAATTTGAGAATTTTAAAACATAAGTAAAAAGTCTTAAACAAAGCTAGACAAGCTTTTAAAAAGAATATATATCTAGTTTTGATTTTTAAATAGAGTTTGTTGTCAGTCAACACATTTGTTGTTGAATTAATAAAAGCATGTCTCTTCACATCTTTTTAGCCTTTAAGATTTTTTATTCTTTTAATTACAAAATTTCCAATTTATATTATTGTCTTTGGGCTGCCGGTGCCTCCCAATTCTCAAACATCATCCCAATTATCTATTATGCCTCAAAAAACTTAATGGATTAACAATTTTAAACATTGCACATGTGATCTTGGAAAAGATTGATTATAAAGCAATTATTTATGATTTTACTTCACAATGTTCTTTTGTGATACATGTGTTGTTACTTTTGCCCAAATATGCAATTCAAGTAATATGAAGGTGAATTTCTTTTTTATTTTGAGGCCGTTTGGTAACACTATTTTTCGGCTTATCAGGCTTATCAACCAACTTTTTCACCAAACACGTAATTTTTACTCTCGCGCACTGAATTGTGTAACAAGCTGAAAAAGTAAGGTTGAAGTTACTTTTCTGGCTGTATTGGCTGAAGTTACTGTAGATGACCATTTTAGCTATTTTACATATAATTTTTTCTTTATTTTATTAATGAAATATATTTTAAAAATAATTTTTTCTTAAATGAGCAGAATCAGCCAATGCAGCCACTTCAGCCAGAACTTCATAAATTTCAGCAGAATCGGCCAAAGCAGCCGATTTTTGTGCTACCAAACGGGCTCTTTATAACCTTTATTAGATAGTTGTAGAAAGAATTCCTGAAATAGGAATAACTTTTTTTAGAATTTCAAAATAGGACTGTCATGTGTTAATTTTCTGCATAGGAGTAATTACTGTCATGTTCGGGAAATACGTACTATCATGTGTAAAATATGATACTGCCAAAATATAACATTAATTACTTCTATTTAGAGAATAAAAACATGATAATCTTAATTTGGAATATACAAACGTTTTGAGTCGTATTTAGAGTAATTTCTCCTAGTTTTATTATACTCCGTAATTTTTACTTTAAATAATATAATTTACTGTTTGTCTTGGAAATAAGGCCAAAATTCTATATCGCCCATAGGCCCAAAACTGCACAGGACCGGCCTTGGGTCTTGTATGTCTCAAGGGGCCTATAAGCAGGAAATTAAAATGGGCACAACTTTTTTAAAAATGTAAAACTCTTTTCTGTTTAAATTAACATGAGTAATAATAATAATAACAATAATAATATTTCAAGGCATTTATAAAAACAGTAATGTGGTGCTATTTGTGCATTTTACATATATTTTAGTCTTTTTTAAGGAATTAACTCTTTATTATTGACTCCTAAATTCTACCCTCCAATGGTGTGATCAGTCTGAATCATTTTATTTTCGGTAGCTAAATAATTCTTCTTTTCAGAGTTCTCATCTTGAGGATATTCAAAATTTAACTTCTTTATACATACAAACTTTTCAAACTTTTTTTACTTAATTAGTGTCGCTTTATCTAATTTTCTCCTCTTTTTTATCTTTATCTTTTCCAAATTCAATCATTTTTATTACACCTTGAATGTATTTAAATTTATAAATTTAATTATAATTTAAAATAAAATTTTTGTCTAACAAAACCAATAAATTATAACACCAACATCCAATAGACAACAATAAAAAATCAAGAAATCAAACAATCAATGATGAATGAAATCAATTAGTAAACTAATCAAATAATCACATCAGACTTATATATATGCTTTCAAGTGTAATTGTTTTATGAAATTTTGTGAGCATGCTTTTCATCAAATTTAGATTATGTTCACAAAAATTCAGTTTAAAACTCAATGGGAAAGTCGTTAAATAAATTATTGAAAAACATTACGCTATAATATGCATAAGAACACAATAATTTTCAATAATTTATTTAACTGACTTATAGATTGAATTTGAAACTGAAATTGTGTGGACATATTCTACACTTTATAATGAACATGTTCATAAAAAACTCCACCCAAAAGCACTTCAAAAAGTTCTACCCGAAAAATTATTAGTTTGAGATTGAAAAATCAGTCTACTCATACTTATTCTAAAGAATTAAACACGAACCTAGTTTTGTCATTTTTCTTGGACCTGGGGCCACCATCTTTTGTCCCCTAGGGCCGCCCCTACGTTACTACATTTATACTATCTTTCGCTCTTTAAAAGTTACTCTGTACAATATTTGACTTTTACGTTTGTCAACTCACAATTTTGACCGTAATTATATTAAATTGCGTATTAGTAAACATTATAAAAAGTCAATATTTTTGAAATTTACATAAATAGAAATTTAATAAAATTATTGTAAAAAAAAAAGAAATTTAATACTACGTAAAATTTTGAACATAATAGTTTGATCATATATATTAGTAGAAAATCATAATCAAAGTATGATGTATCAATAGTGCAAAAATCTTAATGTTGCAACTTTTAAAGAACGGATAGAAATATTACCTTACACTACATTGTATACATGCATACTGCGTATCAAATATATAGACTTATTTATAACATTTTGATATTAAATTGCATTTTTTGAAAGTAAATTGCATTTAAATTAGAAAAAAGTGAAAGTTATAATCCCAACTATTGGCGGTCCGCTCATAATAATCTCAACTATTGATTATTCTAGAATAATCCCAATGATGGATAGTCTACCCGGGGGTATCTTATCCGAAGGGTTATTGCGGGAATAACTAGAGAGAAGTCAGAGCAAAATAGGAGGAGAGAGAGTCAATTTATTAAAGAGAAAAGTACGGAAAAACTACTTGTGGTTGGACTCATTTGCAAATAGGGTCATGTGTTTCACTCTTTATCAAAGTGGTCCATATGTTTCGATTCCGTTATCACAAGAGGGTCACGCCGTTAAAAACGTCTGAGAAAGACGGTTAAAAGTAACCCTGATTTTCAAAAGTGTCCGAAAAATTAAAAGAAAAATACCGGAATGTGCGTCTCAATAAGGCGACCGCTAGGCCATCTTTCTTTTTTGTCTTCAGCCACGTTTGTTACCGGAAAGTCCACCGGAAAAGTGATATTAGCGAAATCATTTTTAAAATGTAATTCAAACAGATCCAAAAAATCCAAAGGCGGGGTGGTTTGGAGGTCATCTTGACGAGGCGCACCTTTCGGTATTTTTCTTTTAATTTTCCGGACACTTTTGAAAATCGGAGTTACTTTTAATCGTCTTTCTCAGACGTTTTTAACGGCGTGACCCTCTTGTGATAACGGAATTGAAACACATGAACCACTTTGATAAAGAGTGAAACACATGACCCTATCTGCAAACAGGCCCAACCACAAGTACCTTTTCCGTACTTTTCCCTTTATTAAATGAACTCGAGATGTGTTGGGATGTGGATCTGGGATCGTTTACAAGGAGAAATGGGCTGCTATTTATAGCAGCAATAAATGCGATGAGAGCACACGTGTCAGTAATCCAACGGCCGAAGGGTCACATCAAACGGGTGGCACCGGCAGTGGCATGTTCACCGCATTGAATGCGGTGGGTGGATGTGACATCGCATTAAATGCGGTGGTTGGCTGTCTCCAAAGGGAATCTTCGATGATTGAGTCTGTTAGCCGAAGGCTCCTTGCATAGCCGAGGGCTTCGCGTGGCCGAGGGCTCTGTGTAGTCGAAGGCTTGGTTCAGTCGAAGGCTTCTCTGATGTTGAGGGCTCAACAGTGCCGAAGGCTCCTCTTTTCTGCCGTTTTCTCCCAGTAGCTTCGTATGCCGAAAATGGCTATCCTGTAAGTTTTGGAGCCTTCGGCCAAGGTGGCCGAAGGCGCCCCAGTGTGTATTTCGGGCTTACTTGAACTTGGGTCATCGTATTTGGGCCTCGGATGCTCTATGGGCTCAATGGGCCTGTGTGGGAGAAGTAGGAGTCTATGGGCCGGGGGTTCCTGGGCCATATACTCCATCACCCAACTTTAGGGACCTTCCGCCAATAATGGTCCCTGTAAATAAATTCTTGTAGTTTCTAAAATGGATGAGATGAGATATAGCAAGTAATCCCTAAAAATAATCCCAACTTTTAATTTTTACGCTTAATTTCTATTTAAAATCCACTTGTTAGTTGTTATAGGAGGTAATATCTGGTCATGGACCATTATTGGCGGACGGTCTATATAGTTGGGATTATACAAAAATAATCAATAGTTGAGATTATTGTTAGCGGACCGACAATAATTGAGTTTATTATTTTCAATTTTTCCTTTAAATTATACGGAGTATGAAGTAAACATGACTATTTTACAACTCAACAGTTGATCATAAATCTAACAATTTACTTGAATAGTTGAACACACTAATTATCTACAGACATTTTAGACCGGAACTTTTCATAAATTGTTTGTGATACAAACATTTTTTTTATTTTTGTTTGTGTAAAAATCAGTTTTCTTCATAAAACGTCGGTCAAATTGTCTGTATAACCGATCAAATTGTCTATACACACATAATTTGATCGGCGTGTAAGCCGACGTCTAAAACTTGGCATGCACAAAAGGAATTTTCTCTATTTTTATTCGTTTGAAAGTTTTCCTACGCGGGTCTAGCCGTCTTGCCCTTCAAGTCTAGAACTAGAATCTATCAAGTCAATAACAATGACTGAAAATGGCAAGTCACATGGCCCTGCGTCTTCCACGTGGCGTCTCTTTCGTGCGTTCTCTTCCTTCCTTTCTTGGCCCTCCTTCGTATTTGGGCTATCTGCCAACCCCTACTCCACCGCTGCTCAACACCAAGAAGATCTTTAATTCGTCGTCCATGGATAAAGGTTCAAACTTTGCCATGTTTTTCTTTCTCTCCCTTAATAAAGTTTTGACCTTTTACCTTTTTTTGCCAAGAAATGGTTGAGGCCTGAGGGTTAGTGTGGGTTTTTGCTGATTCTGTGTTTGGTGAAGGTTATTCTTCGGGAGCAAAGGAGACGCCCGAGTATAAATCCTCTGGCGTAGGACCTGCTTCGGATGATATACTCTCTCATATTCTCAATCTGTAAGTTTTCTTTTAGGGAGAGAATTGGATATGTTTTTTATACTTTCTCCCATATAATGTTTTATATAGAGCTTTCCCCAAAATTTCTCCTCTATATCTTTTACACATGAATGAAGAAATGGTCGTATCCAACACCAGATAAATCAAGAATGTAAACTCCTACTATTGGTCTTTTAAGATGAGAGTCCTAGTTTTATTACTCCGTATAATTTAAGTGCAGATTATATGAATAGGTCTGACTAGACTTGACAGAGAACCCACAAATTTTAAGATTGGTCTGCTCGAACAGGCCATCTCAGGCCACCAACTTTACTTTCTTGAGTGTCAATGTTGAACGTAAATTGTAAATTCCTTTAATGTATTTTCCTTTGTTATGAAAAGGTTTTAGTCTTGGGGTCTAATGTCTGAGATGGTCTTGGTTGGGTACCATAAATGAATGTTTGGATTGTTTAGATAGAGCTTAGGGCAGAGGTATTTTTAAAACTTGAATGTGTTATGAGTAGAACTTTTTCCTTGGGTAAAGTGTAGAATTGAAGTCTTGTGAGTGTATTTAGTAATGGCTGTTCCACTTATGGGGTATATGACTAGGGAGTATACAAAACACTGTCTAGATTGAGGTTGTATTTGGTTGTGTCTTTAAGTAGAATTCAAAGTGCTGATTTAACTCAAAGCCACTTATCACTATTAACAAAACGAGTGTTTGGCTTGTTTTCCGCTAAAACACATGTTGAGAGTAATAGACCTTATTTTCATTCTTCATATTTCTAATTTGAACATGTTCCAGAAATTGTAAATGAAACAATTTACACTTACAAAATAAGAAAAATTTAGGTTGCAATGGGCTTGAGCTCAATTGAGATGTGCCCCTGAACCTGAAATCTCAATTTTTATCATTTGTAAGTTGTGACAGGATAAGCATTCTTAATTGTAGAGTGTAGGGTATTTTTAACTCAAAACCAAACAAAAGTAACTTTGTAGGAAAACTTCTACACCTTATTTAATATTTATATAAGCTTTTATTTGAAAACTCTTACTCCTATAAGCTCTAAGTATATAAGTTGAAACATACTCTGAATATCTTAGAACAACAACTATTGGTGTGTATGTATTGATGAAGGTAGTAAACTAAGAATAAAATCCTTTCTGTCTATTAGGCTGGCTTTTCATATAAATTTCTTTTATTTTTTTATGAAGCTAAGGTAAGCACCTTGTTATGAAACTTGTGAAATATTTTAAACGTATGTGCAGAGTGCACCTAATAATGTCATCAAAAGCAAAGTTGCATAGTATGGAGTCAAACATTAACAAAAGTGGGATTAGCTCCTTTGTTTGTTTCTAAGATTGATTATCAGCTGCCACTAGTTTTTATTATTGATTTACCAACCAGTATGCTAATACTCCTAGTGTTGTTTATGTATACTGTTCAACATGGTTGCAGATATGCATCTAAGGCCACACCTAAAGATTTTGAAATCTATGTTCCGGATGCAACCTTTGAAGATCCCCTTATGTGTGCACACGGGTATGCTTACTGTAAACACTACTTGTTTTGCCATAATTAACTTTCGGCATATGAATTGATGCTTCACTGTACTGTTTTGACGAAGTGGAAATTCGAGTTTCCCCATGTCTATTTGCTTCTCAAACCAATTGCTCCCTAGGTCCCACTAAATTTTGCCAACTTCCACTGTTTGGTTTTCTGAAAAACTTTGTCACGTTCACTTTAATATAACTACTTTGTGGTTAATATTATTTGTCACTCTCGCAAAGCCCTTAAAAGAATTGTTTCACAAATCTGTCACTTAAAAAATATAAAATCAGAAGAGCATTTAGTAACAATTCATATCCATAAAGAAGCATATGTGAAGTGTAGTTTGATTATAGTACTGCTCTCTCTGTCCCAATAAAAAGAGTTTCGTTTGAGCAAGGTACACCTTTTATTTATCTCAATTAAGGCAGTACAAGTTTGATACAAGACTACAAGAGTACAAGTTATGAACGGTCGTCGACTCATCAGTACCCCAACTTACCTCCAAGATTGTTTGGCGCAATTGAGTACAATTTCTCATTGTTTGGTTTCACATAAATTTTATTGAATAAGGAATTTAACTTTTGTAACCTTTTTTAACAAAAAAGTTTGTGAAACAGCTCTTTTTTTATGGGACGGAAGAGGGTATACTTTTTCCAAGATTATAGAATTTTTAATGAGTTTCTTAATCTGTCTCCTATCCGTAAATGACTGAAATGGTTGAACAGATTAACAGAGTGAGTATGATATGTTTCTATAATTCTATGAGAAGTAATCAGAGTATTGAGGCGCATGTGCATGATTTTAATGTTGATGCAACAAAAGCTCACTGATAAGGGGGGGTCGGATGTACGCAGCCTTACCCTTGTACTAAAGCATAGGGAGATTGTTTCCTGATGACACATGATGAAAATCGCTTCGAAAATTGCATTGATCAATTGCTTTTTCATAATAAAGAAACACAGACAGTTTAGTGAGCCATTTTGCTTTATTCCATCATATTCCCAAGCCAAAAAATAGCGAGTCTTTAGCTCCATTGGAAATGATGGAAAAGCTCACTGATATGAAATGCATTATAAATTATATTTGTGAAGTATGTATGCGGAACTTATTGTTTATTGCATAAATGAGAAATTGGTGGCACTTATCTAACCCGCAGGGATTTCATGTCTTAGTTCTTGTGTGAAAAAAGAGTTTGAGCATGCCTGTTAAGTTGTAGAACAAATTGTATGAGGATGTAATAATACCATGTTTGACTTTTTATGCCATTTATTCATAGTAGTTTCAATTTCCTACTATTCTAGTAGATTTGGAACCTATGCTGCCTATAATGTTACATAATCTATGTTCAATTGCATGGATTTAAATTTTACTTCCAAATTGCAGGGTAAAGCAGATAAAATCATCATTCTATTCACTAGGCAAGGTATAATCATTTCTTCACTGATGAATCTATCTTTGCTTATGGTGTGGTGACACCATATTAATGTGGGTTAGGTGCTTAGACCCTATGTACTAATTCAGAAATTAGGATATACAAATTTTCTCTCTAAAGATTCCGGCCTAGGTTCAAAGCTTCCCCAGATATTAAAAGGATTGGGTTGGGTCACTTAACTGATCCATTGGACACTTAGACCAAGCTGCACGAAAAGATTGAATCTGATCTATGACCTAATTCAACTTAAGCCCTTAGTAACCCATCAGTTTCTCTATTAAATAACTCAACTCAGATATTTTATTTACCCATCACTAAAGGATTGTTCATTACTTGTTTGGTGTGGGACTATAACAGCCCCGCCACCCCATTGGAGAACCAGGCCATTTTGAATGAAACTGCTTTTAATTAGTGAAAGTGTTAAGATCCACGAAATGTTAAGTGGCACTCGTTGAATCAGATTCCTGAGTAATTCGACCTCAGACCACACCACACTGATAGTATTATAAATAAGATAAGATTCCTATTTTCTTTCCATAGGGGGGTATATTAGATCAAGTAATCCATAAGGCACTCCGTAGTTTTTGTTTTTATATATGGGCACTTTTCGAGTAATTGTTTCCCAAAATAACATTTATAGGTCTTCAGTGAATCAAGGATTGTGGATTACAGCATCACAGAGAACGATATATCACCTGGAAAGAAAGAGGTTGAAATTGCAATTCCCCATAGAACAAAAGAACATGTGTGGCTATCTTTAACCCTCTGACTGTTCTTTATTGTTTCAGATACTAATTGATAACAAGCAATACTACAAGTTCTGGGGGAGGGATATTCATATGATATCTCTCATCAAGCTATATACGGAAGGAGGAAAGGTCGTCCGCCATGAAGATTGGTACTCGCATCTACTAGCTTTTAGCTTTTAAGACTAATCTTAGTTGTATTAAAATGCAAATTACATCTTAATGAAATAGCTAAAGGAGGATATCAGTTAGAAGACTGTTTCATAATGCAACAAGTTGAACTTGAAAATGTCATAAAGTATTTTGTTGAAAAGTTTCTTAACATGGAAGTTCAAAAAATTGGACTGTTCCTTTCCTTATCTTCAGTCAAAATATATGCCCGCTAAGTCCACATAGGATATATTCAGCTCGAAGAACACAAAATGGTCATACACTTCAGCATGAATGTATGATTCATTCTCTCATGGAAACTGATTTCGTTGCAATGTGTTATGCTTCCCTGCTATCACAGTATGTGTTCACTTCCCTTCTGCTGAGTTCTATCTATACTTGGACTAGATCTTGCACCACACACTTTCCATTTCTAGTAAGCGGTGCTGGTTTCCCTTTCAAGTTATCACCTTCCAACAGTGAATCAATTTTCCCCAATATATTATTAGTAGTATAATTCTTGTCTTCAAAGTAATGTCCCATTTTCAGTAAAAAGGCACTGGTTTTATAAGACACGGAAAAAGGTCCCTATATGGATATACTCTGCAGAATACCTATAAACTCACATAGGCAACCACATTTAAGACCTTGAAAACCTCCTGTAATCAATGTATAGTGTTCGAATGTTTTTCAAATGTGGAACTCAAAATCTTAATATCCGTGTTTACGTGTTATACAAGCTTTTATATCTGTTTAACTAGCAGTTAAATATATACAGGTGGGACAAGAAACCGCCACGAAGTCGGAAAACAGTTAAGGTACCGGTTGTTGGGAGGATATTTGAGCTTTCTCGCAGAGCGTCGATGTTTGCAACCCATGCTATGATGGGGTTTGGGAAGGATCCACATCCAACCAAGTAAATGGCTCCTTGGAAATGAGAATGTAATGTACTCTTATGGTTGACAGTGACATACAAACATATCGTTACAGTTCTATCACTAGTCACTACCTCTTGCTGGCAAGATGTTTTCATTTACTTTGTTAATGCTACTTGTGTTAAATTGTTGTATACATAAGTGTGAAGATATAGGGTGGATCAATACAGTGTTATATACTCTGGCTTTGTGAAATATTATACTCCTGTTGAAGTGGCATCTTCTATTTTATGTAGTCATGGACCCGGTTCGGGCCGCCCGGCCCGGGACTGGCCCGGTTCTCGGGTCCGGGTCCGGGTCGGGCCTAGGCCCGGTGGGGGGCGGGTCCGGGCTCGGGCCTTGTATTTGGCGAACCGGCCCGGCCGGATCGGGCCCGGGTCCGGGCCAAAAACTATTTTTTTTTTTGTTTTTTCATTTTTTTGGGCTTTATTGAGTTGGGCTTGATGTTTAGGACCGGTTTGGGGGGTTTGGGGGGTGGGGGGGGAGGGGGAGAAAAGAATAGGAAAAAAAAACTAACCGGGTGGCCCGGCCCGGTCTGGCCCGGAACTGGTGGCAACCGGTTCGGGCTCGGGCCCAACAAAACAGACCCGAGGCCCGGCTGGGCCCAGGCCCGAACCGGGCCCGAACCGGTCCCGAACCGGTCCCGAACCAGCCCCGAACCGGCCCCGAACCAGCCCGAGGCCATCCCTAATTTTATGGTTGCTAGTGTTGTATTTTGTATGGCAAGTCTCCTTAATAGTTTAATGGGAATAGGGTCAAATAGGCCCTCGAACTTACATAAAAAGTTCAAATAAGTTCTTATCTAGGAGGCTTTGTCCGTCCGTCGCCATTTGGGGCAGTTTCCAGTGAAATTTTTTGATGAATTTTTTTGAGCATCTTATTCATTAAGTCTAGTTTACTCATACCAAATTTCAACTAACAATTCATTCAGGAAGACATTCAAATGAATTCTTGAAGATAACTGTGCTTTTAACTACGAAGTTAAAAGCGCCCCAAATGGTGACGGCCCAAATGGTGACGGCCGGACAGAGCCTCCTATATAAGGGCCTATCTGACCATTTTCCCTAATTTAATTAATCATATACTCCGTACAAAATTACTCCTCAAAATCTAATAAAGAAATTGCTGCCATAGAAATCAAATAAGCAACACGATTCTGTGATCATTGGACATTGGCAAAAGTTAACTCAAATACGAAAGCTTTTAGTGGGCAGGGATCTGCTACCATTCAAGATTGACTCATACTAGGATTAAAATGATTCTACATGAATACCATTAACACCCGTTAAAGTGCTGAAATATGCCTTGGGATATCACAGAGTATAATTTATGTTTTATTATTTTATACTAGATTTATGTAAAAAAGATGTAAATACTTCTAAACTACATGCTTATTTTTTTAAATGAAATTGACAAAATTTCTTGAAACGGCTAAATAACGAAAATTGGCAAATTTTGTGAAATAAAGTACTAATAGTAAGTGTACAACTTGTTAACAAATTAGACGATCTCCTGCTATGCATATATCAGTGCTTATCGTCACATGTGATCAAACGATCTGAAGATTATTTATAATCATAACGTGATATCCATAATCACTTGGACTAGTGGTTATAAAGGTTCCATGACATGCATAAACTGTTACATAAAAGATTGGTGCCAGGACTACACATAAAACATTCCAACTAAATTCATCTAAAATATTAATTGATGCCATGACTATTTACTTGGAGATAAACTGCCATAGGATCCCATCATCTCATTCAAGTATTCAACCAACTGAGATTGAACATCAAATCCCCAACCTAATTTACATGCCAAGAGAAGCTGAGAGTGAATGAAAAGATCCATCCTGAACAACCAAGCAAAATGAACTCCTTGCAATTGAGATCAAATAAATGATACATCATTCTTAGAGCATCTCTAATTCCTGAATGTGTATGATGCACATGTGGCACGAGTGATAGTCACATAAATATTACGTAGTAGCAAATAAATTATCCATCTCCTTATTTGAATGATTTTATACAATTTTGGTATGTTTTTTCCTGCAATGTCAACATCTAGACGGTCTCCTTGACATTGTGGAGAAAAATTTACCAAAACTGTATAACATTATTCAAATAAGGAAAGAAAGAATTTATTTACTAATATTTATGTGGTCATCTCTTATGACACATGTGCACCGTGCACATTATAGCATTGGAGATGCTCTTAATCCCCGACAGTTGTGAGAATTACAATTTTAATGCTCTGTTTGAATTTCATTACAATCATTTGAAAACAAGTATTGGTGTCACAATAATTGGGAAATTAAAAGTATCACCATCACGATAGGCAAAATGACCAAAAGTGTCCCAATCACAAAAAAATAGGTCCAAAAATGAAAATGTTTGGAATTGATAAGCCAATTTAAGCAAGAGCAATTGAATTTGAAGTTTGAAATGTTTTTACAATTGTGAACAGAGGATTGATGATTCAGTTTAGAAAAGTGCAGACAACAAAAGTTACAAAACCATAAATCATCCAGAAAGAAAGCAGATGCACAACTGCTGGAAGTGGGCAAGCTCTCATCGAGTTTGTGTCATTACACACCCAATTTGCAAATATCTTCGTAGTCAATAGCCTTAAGAACCTTGCCATCATAAATACCCTTCTCAATTTTCAGCTTGGCAGAGAAATGATCAGTATCTATGGCTAACAACCTAGCATTTGATCCACGGTAAGCCCCGTTGACTATCCTCACAAGACCACCAATTTGGGGGATCACAGTTTCAAGCTCTTCCTGATCAACTCTCAGTATGTGCTTATTTTCAAGAATTTCAATTTCACCAACATACTTATCAATTACCCTCCTAACGACACCCTTTTTCTTATAATATGCATCCTTATTAGCCAACCCCTTGCTCATAACTTTCACCACTATTCCCTCACATAACCAATAATCCTTCCTGTTTTGCTTTTCCTTTGCTTGTTCTTCCTCTCTCATCAGCTCATCCAACACACCCCCACCACTTACCCCTCCAAAACCACTCTTTCCACCCAATTTTGATGCACTGCCATCTCCGGTCGTGTTCTGATGATAATCCATCGCGTCAAAAACGGATATTGAACAGTTTTCAGGTCTGTCTTTTTCATTAGCGGGTTTCAATGATGGGCCCAAAGACAACTTCACCTTCTGATCACAACCATCCAACTTCTTCTCCAGTAACTTCCGTTCAGAAGAGTCATTAATCTCGTCTGTTGAGATACCACCCCCCATCAACTCTTCTGCCTTCTCTCTCTGTCTCTTAATCGCTCTCTCTTGCTTCTCTTCCTCTGCTATGTCAGCCTTGACTCGTTTGCTTTTCATCTTCTCCTTGAAAAGGGTCTCGGAGTCCCTGTCTATATAAGTTATAAACCACCCCTTTGGAGTCTCATCAACTTTACACTTCCCAGTCCTGCCTAAGTACTTGACAAACTCGGTCAAAGTTGCCCACTCCGTAGAATTCATATGAATGTGTTGGCGATCAGCTATATACTCATTGTACACAACCGTGGCAGCCACACGGCTAAACCGGTGGCTTCTCTTCATGTGTTCAAGGAACGCACTCTCAAACTCCTCTGAGTAGCCACTGACGATCCGGTTAGGGTTCTGCCCAAACACCTCCATCTGGCGCTGGTGGGACTCGCTCATACAGTGGCATTTAAATCCGTTCTCATCCCGGCATTGTTTTTCGCACATCTGGCAATACCATCGGAGCTTCTGCAGACCTTTTGCTTTTATTCTGTTCGCGATGGCTTTGGGGGTCAAGAAGTCATTTTTCCCCATCAAATTTGACTTGTGATTACAATCAGAAAGGCGTCAAGTAGAGAATGTAGTTGGTTGACTTGGTTCACCAGAATAACATTCGTCAATGGCTTTGAGGCCTGTTAGATAGAAATAATAAGCAAAGAATTCTACCCCAATTTACTAAAAAAATATAAGCTTAACAGATATCAATGTTACTTTACAAAAAAAGCACACACATCATTCAAAAGCACATCTGCACATAAGGGGACTTTGATGTAGCCTGCATTTGAATGAAAGAAAACTATGAATATTTAAAGTTATGTGATATCATTATGCATGATGGTTATGGTTCTCCATTTGTTGTATGTTCATTCATGCGAAACATCATCATTAGTTTGAATTTCAACTGAAGTTGGTTATCTATCAAGTTGAATGTACATTCTGAATGTCATCATTGAACTACAAGTTTTGTTCCGAGCAATGATAATATGATATTGGAGAACGTGTCATGCCCTTTATAACTTCTTGATTAAAAAAAAAAACTGAATATCATCATTGATTTGAGTTTTTAACTGAAGTTCAATAATTCTCTAAGTCTATAGTCTATACAACTCGACCTACTTTCGAATTGTATAATGTATGATCTCCACCCGTCTTATGGTATGCTCATATGCTTATCCAAAAACTTTAACACCTTTTATGTTCTTCATTGAGTAGATCACTGAACAAACTTATCAATTTCTTTTAGATGCCATTTGGATGAAAAATAAAAAAGGCCTTGTAACAGAAACACAAACATAAATTTATATGATATGAATCTGTGAATGTTCGGTACTAAAGCATGGTGATAAAAAACTGTGCTATGCATTCAAGTTTTTTATAAATTTTACTCGAAATTTATTAAATTTACTAAAACTAACAATAACACTAACACAAATTTACTATCTTATAAAAACAAGTTTTCACAAAAGGTAAAGGAAATCATTTTTTATAAAATTTTCAAATGCATAACCGAAGATCACCGAGTCACTTAGCACATTCACAACTCACATTTTCATAATTGTACACATCGAATAGTTCAATCAACAACTACAGATCTATAATTATTATATAGTGATAATACAAAAAGTAAAAAGTTGTAATAAGTAAATGAAATCATATGATGGTAGCGGAAGGAACGTACCTGTACAGAGGCGTGGGTGGTTAGTCTGCAATCTGTAGCATCAATTTCCTCTCCGTGAGGCGTGAGTCTTTCCTTCGCGGACTGTCCGAAGTTGCGTGATGGCTGAGGGCGTGTTTAGAAAGGCCTTTTATTTCAAGGATGTTTGTAGTTAGGACCGAAATTCGTTCATTTGGTAAATATTCCTTGAACTAGTATTTGTGCACCGAGCGGGTAAAAGATGTCGTATAGTATTATTTTTAGTTTTATTATAGAACGTAAAGAAAAATATTTGAAGATGTGAGTGTTGAATTGGTTCATTATATCTAAAGAGAATGGATAAAGAAATAAATATATTGATAACGAAATTTGATCTATAATTCGTTCATTGTTACATAAAACTCAATTCAGTTTCATTCAAATGAAATCACTTTTTCTCACCCTCTATATATTTATATAAGGAGTGATTAATTATGATTACCATCGATTTAAGAATAATTGTTGTATTGTATGTTTAAGTCAAGTGACACTTAAATGATTTGCAATTTTATCAAGACACTATTTTAATTTGGTATGTAATTCATTGGGGGCAGTGGCGGAACCAGGGGTGGGCGAGCCGGTGCCGGCGCCACCCCTTCGCCGGAGATGTTAGGGTATATATATACATAACTTCCATAGTGCCCCTGATCGTCTTCTTCCTCGCCCCGGCTGATTTCCGTCGACATGTGCGCTGATTTCCGTCAAACTTCAAAGGGGCTGTTTTCGTTTTGCTTTTTACTTAACCCGTACGACGCTGTTTTGTTAAATGTAAAAAAAGAGTAAAAACGACGTAGTATATAGTAGGGCTCATAGCAGGCTTAAATTTTGATTCTTATTAGTTATCAGCCCAAAGCCCATGACTTGTCCAATTGCTAAATTCGGAAATATGAAACGACTGGACATCTTAGCTTTGCTTTGCCGCCTTGAGATTTACGGTTTTAGTAATCCTTGTTTTTAATTATGTAGTTTAGCATGCCATTAATATACTCCGTATAGTTTTAGCCTAAAGCTTTATCCTTTTATTCATTTACTTTTAAGGTTTCAAAAATCTTTGAAAATTGACCAATAATTTATACTGTATTACATAATATTATTGTTTTATCTACTATGTACTTGTGTAAAAAATAAAACAAAAAAAACAAAAAAAAAATGTACTATGTACTTGTGTAAATAACTTAAGTAAATAAAAATGACCCAACAATGTATACGTAGTACAGTGTAGTACATTATATAATATTATTAATGATTTTTATATTTTATTACACCTTCCGTCTCATTCAAAAGTTTTCACTTTCTTTTCATGGTTTCCCGCTTAAAGGTTCTCATTTTCTTTATTAAGAAACAATTAACACTCATAAATAACAATTTAATCATTAAATATTAAACAATACATTTATAACATCATAATTATCATCAATAACTCATAATATTATATATTTATCAAAACTATTAGTCAAAATATACTCAAATTACCATATTTCAATACTGTCTAAATAATCGTGCCATTTTTTTTGGAAAACATAGTGTCATTTTGTAATGCTTTGAACGTACGGGATGGAGATAATATTTGTTATATTACCTATGTGTAGTTGACCCAATTTTTTTTGGGGGATAAAGTTTAGATGCTATTGTCGTTAGATTACGTATGTATGTATTACCATTGTATTTTTTTCATACTTCTTTTACAATTTCGGTATTTTGAGTTTTGAAGAATTTCTTAACCGCCCCCCCTCAAATATTCTTCTGGTTCCGCCACTGATTGGGGGATAAAGTAAAATAATATTAAGGCAATGAAAATTAACATTTATTTGACGAAATATAAAGTACCATGTTCCATATATTTTCATGCTATTGTGCTCCACATTTTACCATATTTTAAAGGAAAGAATGAGAATAATAATCTCAATAATTAGTAATTTGCTTCTAATAAGCTCAACTATATATCGATGATTCATGTATATATAATACGTAAAATCTGCATCTAGAGTTCTCGACATGTTAATTTTCTTCACCTATAAATTTATAATCAATATGAGTAAAAATGAAAGAAAATGTACCTTTTGAAACAACTTTTCACTACTAAATTACTTTACAATTATATTTTGATAATAAAATTACAATCATGTGATTCATTGAGACCATAAGTTACTCAAACATAATGATAGTACTCTCTATCATTTACTACGTAAAACTTTGCAGAGTTTGATAAGCACGAAAAATAATAAAAGAAATCTATGTGATTGAGATTTGTGTAGAGGAGAAAGAAATAACATGAACCACAAAATAATTGATTAGAAGAAAAAATTACAAAATTTAAAACAACTCTAAAAAATGACAAAGTTATAAAGGATGAAAAAAGCATTGGTTAAATCTCCACTTATAAAAATGACATTGTTAAGAACAAAGTCAATGTGAGGTACATATAGTAAACATTGTTAGAAAGAAAAAATTGTGAGAATGTTAGCTTAATTTATTAATATTATTTATTTTCTTCACTCTTATTATTAAAAAATTGTGAGAATGTCATGGCAATAACAATATCAATGTTATAAAAACGACATTGTAATAATGTCAATGACAATATAGTGAATCTCTTTAACAAAACAAACAAAGAAGAATGTAAACTACTTGGAAGTTGGAACAAATTCATTAGCTCATGAGGTCAGGAAGCAATACAACAGCCTAATTGCAAGCTAAGGAAACAATCAAATCTTAATCTGTTGCTCTGTTCTGTGTCTGCTCATCTTTTTTATTTTTCTCTATTTCCAGTCTTTCATCAACCATCTTCAAGTAACACACAATGAATGAATCAATACTCATAATTGTCCAATACAAAACAAATAGAGTGATAGCAAAATTGAGCTGGTGGGGGTGCATACATCAGGTATATCTATACGCAACTGTTTCAAGCATAAAAGGAAAAAACAGAAAAGAAATTCTAAAGAGAAAAAGGAGAATAAAGCAACAACAAGTGGATCCAAAATGGAGTAGGTGTGGGAAACAAAAACGAAGATTGAATTAAAAGTTGGCCCAAAAATTGACTAGTCATATGAAGGCATCCTAAAAAAAATACTTTGTATAAATTAGATCTGGGTACAACCGCGAAACAACAATGAAGAAGAGGAGGAGGAGGAGGAGGAGGAGAGGAGGAGGAGGAGTAGGGCCTCGGGCTCCAGCCGCCATCGCCTTTTTCCCATCCCGCCGCTGCCAAGCTTCTGAACAATAAAGTCCTTTCGCCGCCACCGTTGTGTCGACGGTAGTGTTGGTGGCGCTGGGTAGTCGCCGTCCCGTCAAGTTCGCACCACCTTGCTCATCTGCTACATTTGGAAGAGAACGTAGCTGGCCTGGTAGAATTTGTCCGAAGAGAGAGACGGGTCCTGCGGTGGGAACTTGTGGAGTTCTGACGAGAGCAGCAAGCAAAGATAAGAAATAGGGGTAAATTTGGAACACGGAAAAATATGCTTCTATTTAGGAGTTAAAAAGTCACGGGTCTTATTTGATTACATGCTCTTATTTTTAGTCCTATATACGGGACCAGTCGCAGGGGAACTCCTTTTGTCTTTGAAAATTGCAGGGGTAATACACATGCCATTAATTCAATTTTTTGATAAAACTTTACAAGTAAATCATTTATTTAGGAACTCCTTCTCTCATATTTTAAAAATATAAATCAAAGAAATTGTTCTTAATGGGAATAAAAAATGACATGAATTCCTAAAAGAAATTGTTCTTAGGAGAAATTGTTCTTCAACTCCTCCGTTTCTACTCAGTTTCAACTACATCGTCAC